CAGACTGCACCTCCCCCCTCAGACTGTGCCTCCCCCAGACTGTAACTCCCCCCTCAGATTGTCTACCCCCTCAGACTGTGTCTCCCCCCTCAGACCGCATCTCCCCCAAGACCTCCTGTGGGTTTCTCTGCAGCCTTCAAGGACTCAGTTCCGTGTAGAACTGATGTGCTCCGCACCTTGAGTATGAGAAGGCGGTCTGGCGTTGCCCGTGGTACAGGAGCTTCTGCTGTACGTGCGGTTTGCTGAGGGCCGAGCAGGGAGAGGTGAACGTGTGGAGTAATGTCACTTGGCGGGGCGCTGCCAGGCTGAGCACAGTGGCGCGTCTGTGCGGGTGCAGTGGGGGACAGCAAGGAGGTTGCGGGGGACCGCGGGGGGACGGCCCAGATGACCTCATAGCGCCCGGAGTTCATCCTGAGCTCAGTGGTCCTGGACGTGCTGAGGAGGAGGCTTGCCCAGGCTCGCTCTGCTGCGGAGACAGAACCGTCCAAGAGAGGACGGCGCGCACGGGCGCTGCCGGACGGGGTCGGATGCCACGCGGGAGGCTGCCGCTGGGCCGCGCTGTGCTCTGGACGGACGGTGGTCGGTCAGGCTGTCGCTGGGCCGCTGCTCCGCATCGTGCTCTGGTCGGTCAGGTGGCCTGTGGCCCGTGGGAGGCCGAGCCGCCATCACAGGTCTGGAGCTCTGGACGGGCGGCTGGAGCTGTGAATGGCAGTCAGCCCAGAGGGGAGACAAGCTAGATTGGGCCAGAGAGGGGCTGTGTGGCCCCCGGCCGAATCTGGGCACTCCGTGTTACTGTGACGATAAAGAGCAGACGCGGAGGCCGAGTGGCCACGCGGGGCAGAGGTGTGGGAGCGTGCGGGGTCACGGGAGGGTGGCCGCCGGGCTGGGGGACTGAGGACTGACCCAGCGGCTCCAGGCCCGCGGTGGGTGGGGACGGGAGGGGCTGCTGGGGACTTGCTGCAGCATGGGCGGAGAGCACGCGCTCTCTGGCCGGCATTCGCTGGCGCTGGCTGGGATGGCGGCTGGGGGCAGAGCTGGGGGCTGGGGGCAGAGCTGGGAGCGTAGACGGGTTCTGAGGAGAGTCGCGGCATGCAGGAAGTCCGGCTTTGGTGCTGAGCCAGCAGAGCCATCTCCACCACGGAGTCAGCACAGCAGGGGCACGGGGATCGAGCCTCACCGCCCGGCCAGTGACACGGAGACGCCTCGCACTTTCCTCAAGCCTCCATCCCACAGACCCCACGGAGGTTACATCCGTGTGCCTCGTTACTGACCCGAACATCTCTAGCTTTAGTCTCTTTTTCCTCCGGGACCTTAGCTGAACATTGCATGAGGTGTCAGACATATCAGAAAACAATCCTCCCCGTACTGGAACTGCGGTCAGACACAACTGAAGACACGTGGGTCTTTGCGGTTCATATTTCATAGGATGGTAAGTGGGATACGGCGTATAGCTGAGCACTAGTGACTCAGGACCCTGAGATCTGAGGATCAGGATTCAATGGCAGACCAAGCAGAAAAGAGATTCTTGTCTCCAATTAACCATTAAAAAGCTGGAAGTGGAGGTGTGGCTCCAGTGACAGAGCACAAACCTTGAGTGAAAGTCCAGTGAGAGAGTATAAGGTCCCGAGTCCAAGCTCCAGAATGTAAGGACGGGGGAGGCAGAGAGACTGTTATGGCTGACTGCATTGTAATAACATCACAGTCAAATGACTTATCGAAAATTGTGACCCGATGCTAGATAATGGAGTAATAAATCGTAGGCTTGATCTCCAAAGCAAATATCACCAGATAAAATCAGTCTAAAGAAATGCGTCCCCAAATTAAAATTTGGGGAGGTAGTTAATGGGTGAAAAGGGGTGGCCTGGCTCTCTGCCGCCTCCTCTGAGCGCCGACCGGAGGAAGACGCCCCACACCTCCAACAGAGAGGCTGAAGACGCCCCCCACCTCCAACAGAGCAGCTGAAGACGCCCCCCACCTCCAACAGAGCAGCTGAAGACGCCCCGCACCTCCAACAGAGAGGCTGAAGACGTCCACACCTCTAACAGAGAGGCTGATTATTTTTTAAGAACAAAACTAACAGTGACAGTAGGCAGCGGATCGCGGCCTTGGCAACACTATCACCCTTTAGCCCTTTCAGGAAAGAATCTTGTAAATACTAGGCATTATTTTTTCAAAATTCTTAATAGACTTGTCCTCTGATTAGACATTGCCTGATTGGATCCCAAAGAGGAAGTAGTCTTTAGAATTCAAAATGCCAGCCGCTGGACAGGGCAGCACTGGGGGCCCTGCCCCCCCCCCGCATTCCTTCAATCCCTCCCACTTCGTGGTCTGGGGTGAGCCCTCTCAGGAAGAGCGCCTCCCTCCTCCGTCCCAGCAGCCGCAGGGAGGCTGCGCTCTGCGGGCAGCAGGCTGCTGGCCACGCTGGGCTCTGGGGAGTGAGTGGCTGGGGCGTGAAGGAAGGATTGAGCGATGAGAGAGTAAATGTAGCCCGGACCGACCTCCGCACCCCAAACCCACTCACCGTGGGAGCCTGGGCGCGGCCAGGACCCCCCGATGGAGATGCGAAGGTTCCTTTCCAAGGGTTGCTCTGGTGAAATAAGACCTGCGAGACCTGGTTCCAAATGGCTCCCCGCTTCGGTTTTGCTTTTGTCATGTGTCTCCCTCTTGCCCCCAGAGACTCAGGAAGCCTAGGCTTATGAGCAGACCTGCCAGGGGCAGAAGGCGGCAGGAAATTGGGTTATTAGGAGCGTGAGGGTCAGAGCCCAGCGAAGGCTGACGTCACCTTGGTGATGGGGACAAGGTTGGAGGCAGCTTTTGGGGTGCTGAATGACAAGGCAGCTCCTGCCTTAGCCGCCGCTGGGGACGTCTGAGTGGGAAGGCAGCCCGGCCTCCAGCCGTCCCAGGGTGGGGCAGTTCCTCACTGCTCATCCTCTCTCCCACGCGGGAGCGGACGGCCGTCATGGCTCAGGACGAGGCTGATGGGCGGCCCTGGGCTCAGGATGAGGCTGATGGGCGGCCCTGTGCTCGCGCACGCAGCCTCCGGAGCACAGCAGCGCATCCTCGCGCGTTCCTCGCTCTTCTTCCCACCCCTTCCCCCGGAGCCCATTTGATCTCCGCACCGGAGTCTGTGTCCTCTTCTTTTATCCACCTGGAAGTTGTCCCCTTCGCTCTGCGTTCTGGCTCTGCTCTGCGTGAGTATAGCACGGGTGTGGTCTCCATGTGTCTGACTGCGCAGCAGGCGCGACCCTGCAGCAGCACAGCACTGCCCGAGCTCGGAAATCGCAGTGATCGCAGACACAGCAGGTAAATGAACGGGGAAGAGCAGCAAGACTTGAGCCCGCTGGCCTTCTGCCAGTCTGTGCTGGCAACTGAGCAAAGTGGACAGTCCACGTCTTGTCTAAAGGCCCAGGATCCATGCTCTGCTGCCAACCATCTAACAAGCTCAGAGGTGTTTTTACGAACGCTCGTGTGGAGTGAACTGGAAGCTGCCAGCCAGATGGGGCCTCCCGCGGTCAGGTGACCTCGGCGAGACCACAGTCAGCGTGAGCAGGCCTCCTTCCAGTGGACCAGCCGCTCATTCCTGACGCACCACCACGCGACTGAAACCCAGGTGACCTTCCTGCCAAGCTGTGCACCCTGTGAACAGCGGCTGTGAGGAGCCCATGGGGGAGAGCCCTGGTCTCCTGCCTCCATCCTCAAAAGGCAAATTCCACTCAGCGGCTCCAAGCCATTTCCTTCCTAACGCGAGAATTCATGGGACGAGAAATCCCAGAAATGTCCCCCAGCATGGACCACGGGCTGCAGCCTCCGTCTCTCCCCCACCACAAGACGACTCCTTGCTTTTGTCCTTATTGTGATTCAAAGACCGGTTTCACAGAATCTAGGAACTTGCGAGGCTGCAAAAAAAAAAAAAAAGATGTTATACCGTTTCATATCTATGCATATTCTTAATGCAGCGTAGTTCAGGACTCCGCGATTGTCCCGGGGGAGGCCGCCGCACTAGCTCTGGGAAGCGATCTTGGCTGTGTGGTGGGTGCGGAGCTCTGGCTTCGGGCGCTGTCTCTTCCCGCAGAGCCTCGTGACCCCGCTCACACTCAGCACTGTTATTTCTCATCCAAGCCCAAGGCTACCTTTCGGGATTTATCTCTGTCCTTGGTGTGACGCTAACATCTATGATGCTATGATCTTGAGGCTTAACACAAACGGCACATGGGGAGGGTGTTCGGCACTCACCTGGCCTCCCGTGTTCTTTCTCTCCCCTTTTCTTCTCTAGGTCGTAAGTTCAAAAAGTTCAATAAGGTCCGGGTGGTCCGTGCCCTGGACGGCGTGACGCTCCCTCAGTCCGTGGGCCTCCCGAGCGAAGGCCCCGCCCTGGGCCAGAGGATCACCTTCTCACCAAGCCAGGAGGTCCAGCTGATGCCGTCCCTCATCAACCTGCTCATGAGCATCGAGCCCGAGGTGGTCTACGCGGGACACGACAACACAAAGCCGGATACCTCCAGCTCCCTGCTGACCAGCCTGAACCAGCTGGGCGAGAGGCAGCTGCTGTCCGTGGTCAAGTGGTCCAAGTCCCTGCCAGGTAATGAGCCCCGAGGTGGACACACTGTGATTGAGAATGCCCTCCCATGGTGGTGGTCCCATGCGGTGTGAAATAAAACCCACTCACTGACAGACCCTAACTGCACTCAGGGCACAGTGAGGCTTCCAAGGTCAGTGAAGAACCAGAGGCCCTAAGCCTAAGTAAGTCATCTGGAGGTGGCCAAGTGAACCTCTGGATCATTATTTCCTATGATTTACTCCCAGCAACCAGACGTTGGCCTGTGATCGCCAGGCTTCTCTCGTCTGGGGGGGGGGGGGTGCTGCGCTGGCTTCCCTGGGCCCTGGCTTCCCTGGGCCCTGGCTTCCCTGAGGAGTTACAGGATGACACTCTCCCGGTCACACCTCAGGACAGTGAGGGAGGGGCACTGAGCTCGTACTTAGAAATACACCCCTCCCCCCTTGTATTTTCTCCAAAACAATCACATTCTCTTTGCATCCGTAATATCCTTATACTTTCTGGAGACCAATTTATTTTTCTAATATCTGATCAAGAATTAAATGTATTATGTCTTTTTGGTCATCAAGTAAATTCAATGATTTTTTTATAAAAAGAATTCCTGTCCAATTTGCCTTAATACATTTCTTGGTTATTATTCATTCTCCTTGAAAGGTTTGAAATATAATAGATGAATTATAATTGAACATTCAAGGTTATACAAAACAGAAAAATAGATTCCTGTTTGTTGAATCTTTTTTAAAAAAATAAGCATTGCTCAAAGTTAATGAAAGCCAGTATTCTAATGGAGATGAAGTAATTTTATAGAAAAATCCAAAATGCCCAGTCCTTATCTTTATTCTAGTTAAAAGACCTTAGACAGGTAATTTTTTTTCTATTAGAGAAGTTCTGAATATTTAAAACTTGCTGTGAGGGGTTATTGAGTTTGATAGACCTTTACTAAGCAAAATGTCATAACAGCATTGATAAATTATGCTGTTTAAAAATGTGTTTTTAATTTTCTAGGCTTTCTCTTATTTAGAAATAGTGATTTCTTTGTTGATTTTTTTTGGTCACATCCCTTTTGTTTGCATTTTGCAGGTTCTTTCTTGCTTAAGAGTAGACAATATGCAATTAAGAAGGTAATTTATTCACTGTGTATCCAAGCTCAGCTTTTAAGCACAGTTATAAGTCCAGATTTTTTTGACTCTCATGTAACCTTAAGAAAGAAAGAGAATTTTTACATTGAATTTGGGTGGCAACTATTTTTTTTATGTTGCAAAATGTAATTTATGTGTAGCCTTACAGAACAACATGGGTGCACACGGGCGCATCCATTCAGTAGAACAAGGAAGCGTGGCATTGCCCACAGGCGGCGTGGCCTGAGATCCGGTGGTGTCACCACGGGCGGCGTGGCCTGAGCTCCCGTGGTCACACGGCCGGTGTGGCCTGAGCTCCCGTGGAGTCGCCACGGGCGGCGTGGCCTGAGCTCCCGTGGTCACACGGGTGGCGTGGCCTGAGCTCCCGTGGTCACACGGGTGGCGTGGCCTGAGCTCCCGTGGTGTCACACGGGTGGCGTGGCATGAGCTCCCGTGGCGTCACACGGGCGGCGTGGCCTGAGCTCCCGTGGTGTCACACGGGTGGCGTGGCCTGAGCTCCCGTGGCGTCACACGGGTGGCGTGGCCTGAGCTCCCGTGGTGTCACACGGGCGGCGTGGCCTGAGCTCCCGTGGCGTCGCACGGGTGGTGTGGCCTGAGCTCCTGTGGCGTCACCACAGGCGGCGTGGCCTGAGCTCCTGTGGCGTCACACAGGCGGCGTGGCCTGAGCTTTTGTGACATCACCACGGGCGGCGTGGCCTGAGCTCCCGTGGTGTCACACGGGCGGCGTGGCCTGAGCTCCCGTGGCATCACACGGGCGGCGTGGCCTGAGCTCCGGTGGAGCCGTGCTTCTTCCTCAGACTGCACGAGTCACTGACGCAATGGTCCATGAGCTCCAGTGACAATTTTGGCCCGGGAGGAACACGTGTCATTAGCTACCCCAAATCCTGTCGGCTGACGTGAACCAAAGCCACAGTTCCTGCTCCCTGAGCCAGCCAGCCCCCCGCTATTAGACACCAGCAGTGTGCAAGACCTAACCATTACACCATGCGGGCAGAGCGCCACGCCCGAGGCCGGGCTCCTGGGTGACGTGTCAGACGCGAGGCTGGGCTCCTGGGTGACGTGTCAGCTGCGAGGCTGGGCTCCTGGCGTGGACGTGTCAGCTGCGAGGCCGGGCTCCTGGGTGGACGTGTCAGCTGCGAGGCCGGGCTCCTGGGTGGACGTGTCAGCTGCGAGGCTGGGCTCCTGGCGTGGACGTGTCAGCTGCGAGGCCGGGCTCCTGGGTGGATGTGTCAGACGCAGTGTGTCTGGCATCTGGGAATCGTGTCTGCACACAGAGAACTGTTCTGTCATTCGCTGATGAAGTCGGGTGAGACTGCTCGGTGTGAGAGCTGGGGTCTCTGCCTCTGCGCCTCCGGAGTGCAGCGCCCAGTGGCTGCCTGTGCAGGATGCCCTGTGCACCCCCGTGGCCCCCCCATATCTCTGTGTGCCCCCTGCGCCCCCCATGTCTCTGTGTGCCCCCCTGTGCCCTCCCCCCACGTCTGTGTGCCCCCCGCGCCACCCACGCCTCTGTGTGCGCCCCCTTGCGCTCTCCCCCCACGCCTCTGTGTGCCCCCCCTGCGCCCCCCACGCCTCTGTGTGCCCCCCCTTGCGCCCTCCCCCTACGCCTCGGTGTGCCCCCCTGTGCCCTCCCCCCACCTCTGTGGGCCCCCCTGAGCCTCCCCCCACCTCTGTGGGGTCCCCCACAGCTCCCCCCACGCGCCTCCCCCCATGCTGCTTCCCCTGCTGGAGCCTCCTCATTCCCAGCGTCTTCCCCTACTCACTCTGGATGGTCTTCCAGAACCTTCCCTGGTCCTTCCACGTCTCTGCTGCACTTGTCAGCCGGAGTGGTCGTGCTGTGCTCTGCTTTCTGCCCACCTCACGGACCACGGGCGCCTCTGCTATCTGTGCGCCCGGCGTCACGCCCGCCACTGGGTGCAGAGAAGCGACTTAGCACAGGCCAGGTAGTGGACACTTGGACTCCCAGCGCGCTGGAGAGGATGGAGGCACGAGGCTCATGGGTTCAAGGCCAGCCTGGGCTGCATAATGAGGCCTGTCCAAAAGACAAAAAACAAGCAACTTTTAAGTACAGAACTGATAGAGAAGTTTCTGTCATAAGGGCTGTTGCCTTAGGTCAGTAAGGCATCCCACCCCTGGTAGTAAACGTAGTAAACGTAGGTTGGTGCCCACAGAATGGTATCAGAACTTTTCTTTCTTTTTTTTTTTTGGTCTGGTCATGGGGCCTGGGCGCTGTTCCTCAGCTCTTCAGCTCAAGGCTAGCGCTCTACCACTTGAGCCACAGCGCCACTTCCGGCTTTTTCTGGTTATGTGGCACTGAGGAATTGAACCCAGGGTCTCATGCATGCAAGGCAAGCGCTCTACCACTGAGCCACCTTCCTAGCCGGGTATCAGAACTTTTCTACAGCCTTCAAGATCCATGCTTGTGTGAGATCCCACATGATGTGTCAGAAGCTGCTGATTTCATATATCATCTATTTATATAATACATATAGATAGTGTTATAGATGACGCTCTGCCCTTGTTTACACTCCCTGACATTTTATTTTTGGGGGAGCATGTATGAGTATATATATATATATTTTTTTTTTCTTTTTCTTTTGGTCTGTCATGAGGCTTGAACTCAAGGCCTGGACACTGTCCCTGAGGTTTTTGTTCTAGGCTAGCTCTCTACCACTTGAGCCAAAGTGCCACTTCCGCTTTTCTGGTGGTTAGCTGGAGATAAGTCTCCCGGACTTTCCTGCCTGGGCTGGCTTTGAACTGCAGTCCTCAGATCTCAGCCTCCGGAGTAGCTGGGATGACAGGCGTGACCACCTGCAGGGCCCCATCCTGCATTCTGTATCCCCACCCCTGAAGCAAGCGCAGCTCACAGTGAATCTCCTCTCCTGTATGTTCTTTACACTTTTTTAAAAGCATTGAGAACCAGGCAGCTTCTTACCAAAGTTTTCTTTCTGGAATTATCAGGTCAAGTCACTTCAGATAAAAGGGTATTTTTCATAGTAGTCACTAAGTACAATTAATGGTCATCTGCTGCATCTGTGTGAAGGTGTTCCATTTTCTTCTCATACTCGGAATTTTCCTGATCATCACCATGGGAATCTGTCCTCGGTGTTCCTTCTTTAAGTATAAAATAACGGATGCGATCACAGTGCGCGCGGACACCGCCCTGCAGCGCAGGTGTGGAAGCCACGGGACACCGTACAGCTGCTTATCCCAGGGAAGGCCGCCAGGAGCTAAGGAGAGGGACTTTCTGAGTTTTGTCTGTCAGATGGAGACAGACTTGTGCGTGTGTGTGTGTGTGTGTGTGTGTGTGTGTGCGTGTGTGTATTGTCAGTCCTAGCGCTTACACTCAGGGTCTGGGCACTGTCCCTGAGTTTCTTTTGCTCAAGGCTACAGCTCTACCACTTGAGCCACAGTGCTACTACTGTTTTTTTTTTTCTGTTTATGTGGTGCTGAGGAATCGAACCCAGGGCTTCATGCATGCTAGGCAAGCACTCTACCACTAAGCCACCTTCCCAGCCTAGAAATATACTTCTTGTTAGCAATACTGGTAACTGTTTTTTATATGTTAAAAACTGTCCTTTATGTTACAAGCATTCCTCTGTTTCATGTCATTAACAATCCTAGAATGCGAAAACAGAAAAGCACTGGTGACTCATGGCTGCACTCCTAGGGAGTCAGGAGGCTGAGATCTGAGGATCATGACTCAAAGCCAGCCTGGGCAGAGAAACCCAGGAGCCTCTTATCTCCAATAAACTACTCAGGAAATGCTAGATGTGGCGCTGTGGCTCAAGTGGTAGAGTTCTAACCTTGAGCGAAAGAAGTTCAGGGACAGCACCCAGGCCCTGAGATCAAACCCTGGGCCTGACAAAACAAACAAAAACCCGAAAAGAAAAAAGACAGAGTACAAAGTGAATGTAAATATAAACAGTCTATTTTCAAATAAAGAACAATTAAATTAAAAATTTCAAACTAGTAAGAGATTAAAAGGCAATGTGAAAAAAACACTGAATAAATTGTGTCAGACACTTAAATACTGTAAAATACTTTCTTTTGAAGGACATAAGAGTGAGCGAAAGTAGGCCTGGTACAGTAGCTCATGTTTGTAATCCCAGCTACTTGGGAGGCCAAGATTAGGAGGATTGCAGTTCAAGGTCACCACAGGCAAAACGTTAACCAGACCCCACAGCAACCCACAAGGCCAGGATGGAGGTGCCTGCCCAGTGGAGCCTGCGGCCTGCGGCCTCTGCTGGGCAACTGCACTGAACCCTAGCTGAACAACAACTAAAAGCGGTCACCTTCCAGCTCCCCGTGCCCCGTGTTCTAGTCATTGTGCGCGCGTCTCTTCCGCGGATTGGTTACGGGTTTGTTGAGGGCAGTGCTTGGATCGTATTCCTCTTCCTACCCCCGGTGCACATGCGCAGGTCTCGATGAGGGGTGTTGGGGAAGGGGGGAGGGGCAGCGGAGTCACCAAACATTTCCCCAGGTGCAGCTGGGCTCCGCGTTCGGGCCGCCCTGCTTATGAACGTCCCCTGAATCTGGGGAGAGCAAACACGGCCTTTCTTACAGCTGCCACCACCGAGTCCCAGCCGCGTGGCTGAACAAGGGACTGTCACGATGGGTGCGTGGCCTGAATTAACCCTTCAGTGGTCCCGCAGGTTTTCGAAACTTGCACATCGACGACCAGATCACGCTGATCCAGTACTCGTGGATGAGCCTCATGGTGTTTGGGCTGGGCTGGCGCTCCTACAAGCACGTCAGCGGGCAGATGCTCTACTTCGCGCCGGACCTGATCCTGAATGAGTGAGTAGTGCCTTGTGGGGCTCCGGGCCTCACGCTGGCAGTACTGGGGGGCGTGCTGGGGCTCACTAGCAGCATGGGGGGTGTGCCGGGGCTCACTAGCAGCATGGGGGTGTGCTGGGGCTCACTAGCAGAATGGGGGGTGTGCTGGGGCTCACTAGCAGCATGGGGGGTATGCTGGGGCTCACTAGCAGCATGGGGGGTGTGCCAGGGCTCCCTCCAGTTGGTGGTCAGCGCTCGCATGCTGGGCATCCTTAGTGGTGGAACTTTCCAAAGGCCCCTCAGCATGACCTGCCATCTTCACGCGCCTCACTGTCCACCCAGAGCCTCCCCAGGAACCTGGGACCATAGCTGTTCCTCTCCTTCCAATGTGCACTCTTGTCGGAAGTGGTCTGAGATCTCTCATTCTTCAAAAACGTATCAAGATAGACACTGCAAGCGGGTGCTGGTGGCTCACGCCTGTCATCCCAGCTGCTCAGGAGGCTGAGATCTGAGGAGCACAGTTTGAAGCCTGGGCAGGAAAGTCTGAGGCTCTATCTCTAATTAACCATCAAAAATAAGCCAAAAAGTAGAGCTGTGGCTCAACTGGTAGAGCACTAGCTTTGAGCCAAAAAAGCTCAGGGGCAGAGTTCAAGCTCAGGTCCTGAGGTCAAGCCCCAGGTTTGGCACAGAAAAATAAAAAATGTCTCAACACCCTTAACACAAAATTAAATGCTTTCTTTACCAAATTTAGCTTTAGGCGTTGGTATTAATGGAATAATGAAATAAATTAGAGGTGGCTTTGCTTGAAGTATTGACTTACCTTCAAAAAGCAAAAGCACTGAATACCCTCCTGCAGGAAAACCAGACCGGGGGCTTACTTTCAAAATGTTTCAAGAATCCTAGCTGCCTGGAGGCTGCCCGGAGGCCGCCGCCCGGAGGCCGCCACCCGGAGGCCACGCTCCTCTGGCGCCAGAGCCTTGCTGGTCACTTGAGGCTTGCTTGTCCTCTGTGCTCTGGCATGCCGCCGCCGGAACCTCCTCCCTCTGCAGGGCAACGGAAGCCGTTCGCCCACGGGCCTGTGCAGATGCGTGCACACACAGTTACACACATCCGTGCACGTGTGTTGCCAGGGACACATGAGTGAATAAGTACGTCCTTCCTCTCCACTGTCACCTCCTACAACGCTATCTTCCCCTACACTCACCTCCTGCGCCTCTATCTTCCTCTCTGCTCTCACCTCCTGCGCCTCTGCTCCTCTAACTTTCACAATCTGTGGCCTCCATCATTAGTGCCACACAGTGGAATACATGAAAGATATCCGAAATTCCGCATGCCGAGCTTGCTTCCTAATGACAGTGGACCCTCAGCCGCCCGAGCAGCGCTGAGCAGTCTCTCAGGCGGCTGAGACGTGGTTTCCTGTGGCTCTCTCCCCGCGCGCGCGGCAAGGCAGCGCATGAAGGAGTCGTCGCTGTATTCCCTGTGCCTCACCATGTGGCAGATCCCCCAGGAGTTCGTCAAGCTGCAGGTCAGCCACGAGGAGTTCCTCTGCATGAAAGTGCTGCTGCTGCTGAACACAAGTGAGCGAGCACGCGTGACGCGGAAACGGACACAGCCCTGGACGCTGGGCGGGAGGGGAGGGGTGACCCACACTAGACGCTGGGCAGGAGGGGATGGGGGACCTACGCTAGACGCTGGGCGGGAGGGGATGGGGGACCCGCGCTAGACGCTGGGCGGGAGGGGAGATGGTGAGGAAGGCCACTCAAAACTAGCACCAAAATCAGCTCTCCAGACCCCATCCCAGCCAACCCCAGGCTGCGCATGGTGACACACAACTGTCACCCCCGCCACGCGGGGAGCACACACGGGAGGAGGCGGGGCATACACATGAGATCCTACTGGAAAGATGACAAGAGTAAAAGGGAGCACTGGGAACATTGCTCCAGCAACCCTTCCCGCAAATCCCTGTGAGTCAAGGGGAAACAGATTCTTTCCCGATCCCAAAGGGTAAGCTGGCAAAGGAGAAATAGGTAACTACCAAGTTCAGCTCCCTATTTGTCGATAAGAACGATCACACAGAGCTCCAGGAAGAGGTGGCCGGTTGAACACAGCTTCTTACCGCTAATCCCTCCAAAGTGACACCAAAATCTTGGGCAAGGGTTTGATTAAGAAAGTGTTAAGAAAAATAACTCCGGGAAAAGTTATTGTTCATGTTTATCAGTGAGGGAAATGTGGGCATTCTTTGGAAACCTAAAAGAGGTGTCCATGTTTTGAAGAGATAGTTGAGGGAAGAGATCAGAGGTACTTGCACATACGTGTAGACATACAAACAGGGACATGATGCTGTTTTGATTTAAAGACAGGGCGTCACTCTGTAGCCCAGGCAGACCTCACACTTGTGATCCTACTGCTTCAGCCTTTTGAGTGATGAGATTAAAGGTGTGTGCCACCACACCTGGAATTGTTTTAAAATGGGCAAACATTTCCTGTTGCCATACTGTCCTCCAGAGAACCCCTTCCATTCCGGATCTCAGCAATTAAAAATTCAAAGCCCAAAGCTTAGGTTTTCTTTCATGTGTATGAGTAGCCTTTCTTAGCAAGAGGAGTGGAATTCAGGGATGCATTAGGGTGCATATAATACATAGGCTTAAAAATTTTTTTAGTGTATTTCTCTTTGCTAGGCACATATTGTTGCCTTTAAACTAAGTGCACTTCATTACAGAAATACTGCTAAGGGTCAGGTCATAAATCCAGCAGCTGTGTGACTTTGCTGTCCACCATCTGGTTATTACTGCAGAGGAAGTTCACATAAGGTTGCAGGATTTTTTGCTTTTCTGTTTTTTAAGAAGTGCAGCAAATTAAGAAGTGAAGCAAGGAAGTCAGGGATGGGGCAGTAAAGTTACTGGAGAAAAGGAGAAGGAACAACAGAAGGAACTAGAAGGTTTGGGAGAAAAACAAAGGTGGAACGGATTCTGTGGTGAAGATCCCAGGGTGAGGAGTGTGCCTAAGATCTGAGGAGCAGCACAGAGATTTCAGAGGAGAGAATCTGAGCCATTCACTCATGCCCTAATCTGGCTCAGCAACATCCTCATGAGTACCCACCACCGCCGGTACCCTCTCAGGTCAGGAGCTGTTGAGCACATCCGTACATTGTGATTCAGAAATGAGAACCACAAGGATTGGAAGTGAGAAGTTTTGAAAGTGGCATTTTCAGCTGGGAAGGTGGCTCAGTGGTAGAGCGCTTGCCTTGCATGCCTGAGGCCCTGGGTTCAATTCCTTAGCATCACATAAGCAAAAAGAAAAAAGCCGGAAGTGGCGCTGTGGCTCAAGTGGTAGAGCGCTAGCCTTGAGCTGAAGAGCTGAGGGACAGTGCCCAGGCCCGGAGTTCAGGCCCCACAACCAGACCAAAAAAAAAAAAAGAAAGTGGCATTTTCATATATCAGAAACACAAAGGCCTTCCACCCCACATTGCTCAGATTAAAAACAAGTATTTTTTTTAAACAACCTAAGTGGGTGGATATGAGATATTTAAATAGCCCATAGCTTTCTTTCCATATTAGCAAGAAGGCATCACAAAATGGAATGAAGAAATTTAGAATGCAACCACACAAAAAAGTGATAAACTTGTGGGGAATAATCCTCTAACGCCCAGTCACAGAGCTTCGCAGGACAAGGGGAAAATGTCCCGGAGAAACCCGAGATCTCGCCGAGCCTGCTGCGTGGCAAACGTCTAACACCACTGTGACCGCAATTGCTTGCTGCAGTTCCTTTGGAAGGCCTGAGGAGTCAGAGCCAGTTTGAAGAAATGAGGTCCAGCTACATCCGGGAGCTGATCAAGGCCATCGGCTTGAGGCAGAAAGGCATGGTGCCCAGCTCCCAGCGCTTCTACCAGCTCACAAAACTCCTGGATAACTTGCACGACGTAAGTACCCCCGTGCCGGGACACCATCAGTCCTTCCCTCAACTTTTCACATGTTCAACGTAAACTCTGCTCGGTCTGTATGCTTCACGTCCTGTGCTCTAACTGTGCTTGCACCTCACAGCTCGGAGGGATCAAACATGCTCCTGTTTACTGGTATTTGTATAGCTGAGGAGTAATATCCATAGGAATTGGGGCACAGTTTCTACAGTATGATCCAAAGTGTTTTTGCCTTAAAATCAGAAAAATAGCCGGGCGCTGGTGGCAGGTACCTAGCTATTTAGGAGGCTGAGATCTGAGATCTCGGTTTGAAGCCAACCCTGGTCAGGAAAGTCTGTAAGACTCTTACCTCTATTAACCACTCAAAACAAGAAACAAAAAACAAAACTGGAAGTGGAGCTGTGGCTCAAGAGGTAGAGCTCTAGCCTTGAGCACAAAAGCTCAGACACAGTGCCCAGGCCCTGATTTCAAGCCCCAGGACTGGCAAAAAATAAAAATTTAAAATTACACAAGTTCATGAATATACACTAACAACAAAAGTATGGATGGAATGACAAATAACTGCCGACAGGCAGTCAGAAACTACGTATCAAGAGCTAAAATCTGCATGCTTTCCAAATTTGTTTTTAGGCTTTATCTTGAAGAAATAACTAGGCAAGAATTTGAATTCTTTAAGTTCCTTCTGGGTTGTTTTTGGTTTCTTTCCCCTTTGCTATGGCAAAGCTCCAGAGGTGCCCAACACCTTAACTATATTAATAAAAGAAGATGTGTGGTTAGATATGTGGCTAGTCAAGACATACTGAATACAGACTTTTATTACCGTTGGGTTTAGAAATCACATTAAAATGACAGTCAAGACATAAAAAGCTATCTACTCACCAGGTCAAATTCCGAGGGCCTAACACTTGAATTATGAGCAGACTGTCAAGATTACAAGCTATTTGAGTAAAGCCTCTCAGATGAAAAGCAGAGAGAAAAATAAGAAGGATAAAAAGTGACTTGAAGGATAAAGCACCAGTAGAGAACAGAATAAGATCTGTAAGATCTTCAGAAAAGTAAAGAATAGCATGGTATCCAAGAAAGGAAAATAGAAAAACACTCAAAAAAAAAAAAGAGAGTAATGTTTGGTGAGAAAAATACTTTGGCACAATTAAATACAGAAGAGACACTTAAATAATTAAGATGTACAAACTGAAAATGAAGTGAAAATAATTTTAAGATCAAATCACGGAAGATCAGAAAGAGATACAAAGTCTAGAGGATTAATCTTGGAGTCCTATGGTCCTATGAATAACAAAATTCCAGCAGAGAGAACAGCAGAAAATCGAGGAAACTATATAATAATAAAAGGTGTTGGGGGCTGGGTGCACACAGAGAGAACCCCAGCCATGCTTGATTTTAGCACAACGTGAGGCTAACTAAATATGAAGCCATACTCAAAAGTAATTAAAGTAAAAACATGGGACAGAGGCAATGGCTCAGCTGACCAGTATAAGTTCCTTAATTCAAATCCCAGCAATGCCAAAGAATAAAAAGCAATTGTGGAGGAAGGACGGGGCCGATGTAGGCACCACACCACTGAACCAAAGAACATTATTACAATGCATCAGCATCCTGGGAGTGAATAGACTACCTTGAATAGACCATGCCCAAAGCATATGCAAATTATTAGCACTTGGAGATCCTCTTCGACTTCTGAGTAGCAACAATGGAAGCTGGAAGACAGTGAGACAAGGCCTACAGAATGTGATGGCAAAGAAGATCTTCAACCAAACCATCACACAAGTATAATGGCAACCCTGTTTTCCTATTTGCAAAGTCTCCTGAGAGTCTTTTCTTAGATGTAGGCTTTTTCAAGAATTACCTTAGGATGTTACAATGAAGTAATTAGAGGAAGAAGAATCAAAATCATATTTTAGCACAAGAGCCGGGCAAAACTGCCTTGAGTCTAGATTGGAGCCATAAAATACATCAAGGAGGAAATGGAACTGGTAGATGTCAGTGAGTGTAACTGTGTTAAGATGATACCTTTGAGCCGGGTGCCAGGGGCCCATGCCTGTAACCCTAGCTACTCAGGAGGCTGAGATCCAGGGATCCTGGTTAGAAGTTAGCCCAGGCAACGAGGTCCATGTAAACTACCAAAAAAAAAAAAGCTGGAAGTGGCGGTGTGGTTCAGGTGGTAGAGTACGAACACGGAGCAAAAGAAGCTCAAGAACAGTGCCCAGGCCAAGTTCAAACAGGATTGCACACATGTGTGTGTATGTATGCAGACACACACACACACACACACACATAGATGATACTTTTTCATTGCTGTCAGAATTTATCGATGATGGCAATAAATGTGGAGGAAACAAACATGTAAGAGAGCTCTTGCAAAATAAAGTCATATAAGAAAGGAAGTGGGAATCAAGGACAAGACAAACCCAACATAAAGGTGTAGTATCAATACTGAAATTGTGTGGCAAAAAATGCATTCGAGATATAGAGATATGTGTCAAAAACACTGCCCCCACCCCCAAATCATTCAAAGTAGCTGCGTGTGGGAAGCCGGGGTGAGAACAGAGCTGTGGGTGTTTCTGCTGCCGCTTCTTTTGGTGTTCTGGCTGTGCCGCGTGACTTGTGAAATTAAGTACGTTGGACTCCTTTGACAAAAATAATAGATTGCGATTCATTCTGTTGGGTTATGGACATAATAGTCAATCTATTGTTATATGAATGAAAGGTGATTAACAAATAGAATTTCTGAAATAACTGAGTTTTGAATGTGTGTGTGCAGTAGTTTGTGTGTGTGTGCATGCCCACACATCTTTAAAAAACTTGAAAAATGCACCAAAATATTCCACTTGGCTACCCTGTGGAAATACAGGCAACGTTCATTGCTTTACGTCTTTCGTATCGTTGGGCTGTTTCGCTGCGTGTAGATCGTCGTTCTAGGTTTCTGTGGTGGGAGGGCAGTGGGAGAGTTTTCATTTGGTAGAGGAAGAAACCTCTTGGTCAGTTAATTCTACTGTTAGAAAAGAGGCTATGCCTGGAGAGCGCATGAACTCACTGTTTTCCTTGCCGTGTTTCCCCCCGCTTGCCAACGGCAGCTGGTCAAGCAGCTTCATCTGTACTGCCTGAACACGTTCATCCAGTCCCGGGCGCTGGCGGTGGAGTTCCCGGAGATGATGTCGGAGGTGATTGCGGCGCAGCTCCCGAAGATCCTGGCGGGGATGGTGAAGCCGCTCCTCTTTCACAAAAAGTGACCCCACGCGTTCCCTCTCAAGGAAAAGAAAGTTCTGCGTCATGTCCTTTCGCTTCGGCGAGGGTGAGGATGGTCCCCAGGTTTTGTGAAGCCTTCTGAAAGCCTTACATTTCTAACATATCATACTGTGTACATTTATGAGGAAAAAATGTGAGATTCAAATTTTCTTTTGTAAAGGAAAGTTAGGACTTTTAAAGTGTATTTGTGTACCTATATTTTCTTTTAGAGTTTACAAGATTGATAAAATTCTAAAGTTGATGGTTGAAGCAAACTATATATTATGCATATATATCGTTTAGGTGGAGATTTTTAACTTTTGCTTCTAACAGATCTCCGTTAGAGGGGGAGAAAGCCTTTACATTTTAAATAAAATGTTATTATACATGTTACTTCCACATCGATCCCTTTGTCTCCCTGGTTATATTTCCAAATTGGAACTTGGAAAAGAGTGAGCAAGAGTTAGAACATCTAATGTTTTAACTAGATTTTCTACAGCTTAAAAAAAATAATAGAAACTGATGTTTCCCAAACCAGAGCTAGCTCCTTGCACAGCTCGTTTGTCATGGACAGAGGTCCAAGGATGTGGACAGATCAGTTAGACAATGCACCTGGGGACTTTCTAGGTTTTTTGTTTTGTTTTTAAACTTTTTTGGGGGAAGGGATTATCCTCAAATATGATGTGAATAGAAAACGATGTCGAACGTTCTCTGGCAGAGTCAAGCCCTGACTGCCTGTGGCATGTGGAAAACTTACCTGGTCCTGATTCTCTCCTCTTTAAAACTAGTGTGATATGGCCTTCCCCCTAGAGCTATTAATAACATCTTCCCAAAGCAGAGAAGGGGAACAAGAGAGGCCAAAGGAGGGAGGGAGGGAAGGAGGGAGGGAAATGCTCTTTTCTTTCTCCAACAGGTGAATCTCAGGTTCAAATGTCTTGAGTACCTATTACCCAAGTCTAAGAGAGTTGCTTCAGGGAATTCCAGACAGTGGCTTAATACAGTCAATTATAATGGCATAAATAAAACACATTTCACTTCACCATTTGAACTGAAGATAGACATAATTTTCTACAGCAAGTTACTGGACAGCCCTTATCTAAAATAGCCACCACACACACATATCTGTGTGTAACAATGCCTACATCATAATACATATATATCAAGTGAATACCTAAAATGGTTTATATCCATCTTAGGTATAGATACATATTATTATTATTATTTTTTGTTGGTCGTGGGGCCTGAACTCTGGGCCTGGGCGCTGTCCCTCAGCTTCAGCTCAAGGCTAGCGCTCTACCACTTGAGCCACAGCACCACTTCTGGCTTTTTTCTGCTTATGTGGTGCTGAGGAATCAAACCCAGAGCCTCATGCATGCGAGGCAAGCGCTCTACCACTGAGCCACCTTCCTAGCCCCATCTTAATTTTTTTTAATCCAGAGAAAATATTAGATGCCATTTTTAAAAGAAATGTACCCTTGTTATCTCACAAACAAAATGTATATCCTTGTGCAGATTAGTAGATGCTAAAGAGGAAATTAAACTTTGAAAACATAGAGAAAAAATGTCCATGAAAGTTTCCAATTTCTTAATGAATATCGAATCTCAGCCAGCAAAATACCTGCAGCTTGCTAGGGGCTGTGACATGAGGGCGCTCCGCGAAAGCTAACGTAAGTTCTTCAGTTTAAAAAAGAGTTAACTCTGGTGTACCCCACACAGTGTGTTCTTGTAAGGCTTCCAAGACTGGGGTTAACATGAGCCAACCCGGGCTCCAGGCTTGGCTTTATCTGGCCTGTGTGGCAGATACACTGGGGAACCAGCGTCTCGCGCGCTGGGTTGTAGCGCGGGCTGCGGTGCGCCCGAGCTGAGGCCGCTGGCCGGAGGCCGCCCCTCCTGACCGGGCAGCGCCGCCGGCCCCGGAGATGCTGCTCACACGCCGCACCTCCTCGCTTTACCTTTCCTAAGAGAATCAAAGCACGCCATTTCCTCACCCAAAAGCCTGCTTCAGTCACGAGCACTCACAGCTACCTGATGTTTGAGTGGACTTAAAAAAAAGTATCATTGCCTTAAAAAAATGGGGCCCTATCCTGGCTCCATCCTCCAAAATTGTATTTTAATTTATTCACTTAATATACTCCTATCCAGCCATGCCAAACTCCCGCCATCGATTGTCTGCCAGAATTTCCCCCCTTTGGACCCCATTTCCACACACCTTGCAGCCGACTTCAAGGCTCGGCCGTGCATCTTTTCTGTAGCCTTTTCGCACCTTCCAGTGGCTTCTTCCCCCAGGGGTCATCGAGTGTGTGTGTACACGCCGCTGCGGGGTGTGGACCTCGTGGGGCGGTGGGCGGTGGGCGCTGTGCTTGTTGACTGAGGCCTGGGCGGCCCGCCGCGTGCTGGGGCGCAGGGCTCCCTCCGCCAGGCTCGCTGCCCTCGCTCAGCAGCTCTGTGTTCAGGCAGGTGCGTCTCCCGTCTTGGCTCTCATCTCCTCAGCTCCGTCTTCATTTCTCTTCAGCGCTTTCACATTTCCCATCTTCTCATTTTTAAACTGGGTTTTTTGTCTTCTCTTTGTTGGCCCTGGGGATCAAACCCAGGACGCTGCACTTGCTAGGCAAGCACTTTGCCACCGAGCTTTACCCCAGCCCTGCAATTCTCCATCTTCTTCCTGTGCTTGAGCTCTCGCTTTCCAGTGGCCGTAACATATGGGAAATACAGGTTTTATACGTTAAGAACAATAATCTGTTTTCTGTTCCAAATTTTAAAACTGGTTAGTGGAATATTATTTTTTTCCTCATGAAAAACTCCAAAAATACAGTTCTTATACTGAAATACTCCAAAGTCGTTTTGTGTTGCAAACCTCAATGTAAAAATGTTCCTTGCTTTTTTTCATCCAGCAAACACTGAATACCTACTGTGGACAAAGAAACATAAGCTTTTGATTATTTAGAGCTGAAGACAGACAAAACTCAAGAAAGTTAGAGCGCACAATATTTGATAAGTACTGACAATCAATGTTGAGTCTATGAATTTTCATTTGGTTTGATCACTTGCATATAACCGTACTGACATGGATGAGCTGCAGTGTAAGGATACTATTTTAAAATTAATATTGTCTTCAGTCAAATATCAGTAATTCATTTGAATCATACTGATGTGTACCTTTGTTAATTTAAAAAGGTGTGAATTATCCTTTCTTGCCCACAAATGTTATCCTAATAAAAGAGTTTTTAAAGTGTCCTCTAATCAAGGGGATTTCCGTCAGTGGGAAGGGCGGGTCACGTGTGCGACACAAGCCAGGGTCCTCGGCCCTTCCCAGCCCAGCCAGCGTCTTCCAGCGAAGACAAGGAAATCTCATCCCGGCATGGCGGGCTCTCATGACCCTGAATTAAACAGTAATTTAATAGCAGAACTCCTTCTCATCAGCACGGCGTTCTGTGAGAAATAACTTTCCCGACTCACTTCCTTCTGAGGGACTGGGATGTGCCATCACAGGATAAGCCTGTGGCTTCGAGACCTCATAAGAATGTTCCAGATTCTCGAGGGTCTACCTGGTCCCTCAGGTAGATGTCTCCACACCAGGGCTTAATATTGAAGGCTAAGTTTGAAGAAGAAAAAAACCGATCCCCCAAGAACATGACATGAAGACATTAAGGTACCTGTTCTCCACATCTTCCCCACTTCTAGCCCTCTCGCTCCGTCTCCGGGCGAGCGTGAGCACGGCCTCCGCCTGGTTTCTCTCAAGTCACAGAGGGAGGTGGGTTGTGTCGGGAAATACTTGGTGGTGACTGAAATGCACTCCTGAGTGAATGGGATCGTCTACTCCTTACACACGTTTGAATAGCGCTGAGCCCAAAGCCATTATGCCTTCCGCGTCAGGTACGAGATGAGTTGGGTTCTTACTATTCCAAGGCATGGCGCTTTTTAATTGGACAAAACTGTGCCATTGTATATCTCTTCTTTAAACATTCCTCTTCAATCCCCTGAAACGGCTCAGGGACCCATCACTACAGTGAGGTACTGAAGGAGGCGCTGACCGGGACTGGACTCCGCTGCTGACCTGCTGGCTGGACACGGAGAAAGTCCTGTAATCTCTTCACTAAACCTCGCCCAACTCTCTCACAAGCAACAGGAAAGGAGACAAAGCAAGGCTACAGATATCCTGAAACAGTAACTACCATAATGATCTCTTACCTTAAGCCAAAGTTCTAGCTATCATCTGATCGAACTGCCGAGCCGTACGCTCCAGGGAAACTAGGAATCTAGAGAACCCAGTTCCTTTTCTTCTATTACTAAATGCTCTCATCTGGTTGACTGATTTAAAAGGAAGAACAGAAGTATTTGATTGATTTCCCCTAAGACCCAAATCTGCTGAGCTTGAGATGTTTCATGAGAATTCTCAAGAGCCTAATGTCATACTTCTATTATGAATATCTGACAGCAGTACTGAGCTTGACATTTTTCAAGTATCTCTGTGATATCCTGAATGGGAGACTAAGCTTTAGTCCCTCTAGAAAGCCATGCTACGTACACACTACAGGCGTAAATTACGTTCATAGCGGAGTAACTCTGCAGACAGTACAGTTGGGTCACATGTAATGACAAAGCCATCAACCCAAGAAATCGTCTTCCTATCTGTCCCAAAGACGGCTATCATAAAATCTCGCCATGCGTTGATCTGGTCTGTCACCAGAGCGTTGGCCTGCTGCCATAACTTCTCAGCTTGTCGGCTGAGGTCAAGTCTGGTTGGAAGCAATTGCTCTGTATGCCCAAGAAAAGCTGATCCACTCAGCATTTGCCTGAGAAAAGCCGATCCGCTTAGCATTTGCTCTGTATGCCCGAGAAAAGCCGATCCGCTCACCCTTTACACAGATTTCAAGACAGAACATGACGCTTTGAAATACTAAATACCATTGAAACCTTATAGTCATAGGAGAAGCACTCAAAACTTGAAAAAATGTTTTTTTCACACTTAGAGACATCTCATTTTTTGTATCAGTAATTCAACAACCACTTTCCCCTGGAGAAATGAAATGGTCAAGGGTCTCAGGAAGCAGTCTCTCTCTCTCTGCTA